GCCTCCATAATTTAGGTGCATTGACTATCTGTCTCACTGGGATTTGTCTAGTGCTGATCCAAAGTTTTCATGTGGCAATCAGCAAAATTTGAACATTGTGCACTGGGTATAAAAAGCTACTTCAAGAGCCCATCCAAGCATAAAGGAACCAGAAAAACACCACTTGGCTTCCGCTAACAAGCCTTACAACATAATATTTTCTAAACGGCAGGAGTTACAGGCAACCATGCATATGTGTATGTTTTCTCTAGGTTTGATTCAAGCAGACACTGATTAGAATGTTAAACAGGTTACATTAGAGATGGCCAGAAGTGTCAGCCATTAGCTTTTCAAACTGTTAAAAAGTTATAGAAAAAAGTGTTGCCCCAAAATAAAAGCACAATAAATGTTTGTATTGCTTAGTTTTATTGCCAAAAAAAAAAAATCAGACGTTTCATACTGACTAAATATGATATCAATGAATATTTCTAAGTAGTGGAAGGAAGATTTGTGCTATAAAGTATTTACGTATGTGTAGAATTTACAAACTGTAGTGGTTAATGTCTTTGTAGAGTTAACTGGTTATATAGGAAAAGCAGTATACTGCATAGTTCTTTTTAATGTGATCAATATTTGTTCTTTCTACAAGATCATCATGTTGAGGGGATGATCTACTTACATGTTTAATACCAGTTCAGCAAACATCCTGAGAACTTTTTTTTTTTCTTTTTGAAGAATAATGGTTAGGTTACAATAGCCTGAGCAAAGATGAGTGATCTTTGCAATACAGAAAAAAGAATCTGGCAGGTAAAAAAGGATTTGACTTATGGATAGTGTTACAGGAAAATACAAGGTACATTTTATATTTAGGTATATGGTTGATTATTAGACTAGCAGTTAGGATTCAGGCCATACTAGCAGTAAAGGACAATTTACTTCCCTGTAATTGACACTAGTGAATGGGGAACATTTGGTCTAAGGGAAAGAACAATGCTCAGGATTAAACTTCATTTTATTATTTACTTCCTATATAATGGAGTACAATATGTGCAGAAAATAGGTTAATAAATTACATTACATGGGTAGCATCAAACAGAATTCTTTTTTAGAAACTCTTTTTATCATTTAAATCTCAGACGTAAACAGGGAGTATGCAGTGTCTTAAAAATAAACAACTACTTCTTTCTGACTTTGATAGTTTGCATAGGATAAAATGAGCAGGCAGCATGTCTTCAGATACGAGAACACTCCCCTTTCTGAGCACACGGCTGGCCGGCCTTTCCTCATTTCTCTATACAGTCTCACTGTAGGCTCATGCATGTGTTACATTACATAACTAGCCTGCTTAGCAAGGAATGAGTATAATGATTGACAGGTATGGAAAGTTTCTTAAACATTGACTTTAAAATGCTACTAAAAAATGCACACATAGCTGACCTCAGTATTTGTCAACTACCAAGCCTGTTCGAGTTTTACTGACACTAACGCTTTATGCTGCAAGGCAATGATTAATATAGTGTTATAGCTTTCCAGTTGAATCGATATATGGACATAACTACACGTGTTATATTACAAGCAGTGTTATATAAAGCAGCACCTATTAACTGAACCATCACAATGCCTGAAACCTTTTCCTATTCATAGGATTTTAGAATAACCCCAATCTGTTTACGATACATACACTGTTTATTAGGACTTCCATCATGTAGTGTCATGCTCAGGATATCTGTATATTAATTGGCAGAAACTTGGTGACTTCCAATAAGCAGACAATAATGGCTGTGGCCATGGACAGAAGATCTCCTATGTATTCTCTCACCAAGGGATGTAAGGAACTAATTACATTCTTGCAAACAGTATACATGGGCACTTGTTAGATGTATGACAAAGGGTTTTACCTGTAAAGCCCTAGCAAAGTCCATTTTTTGTTAGTTGATATATGTAACTGGACAGTCTATTTAACAAATCTCAACAGTTGTTAAATACATCCATAAAAAATTCAAACAGTGTGCAAAAAAAAAAAAGTTTAAAATACCCTAGAACAGGGGTCTCCAAACTATGGCCCTGCGGGTGTTAAGGAACTGCGAGTCCCATGAGGCCTTGCAAGACTCTGACATCCACAGGCAAGACTCCCAGAGGCATGATGGGACTTGTAGTACTTCAACAGCTGGAGGGCCATAGTTTGGAGATCCCTGCCTTAGAATAACTATAAATATGAACATTTAACAGCCATATAACACGTACTTTGTACTATGTTTGACTTCTGTCCATCCATTTTTAGATTGGCCAGCAATCGGCATTGGAAACCCCTGGCCATTTGCCAGTGACACCATACAACTCATGGAATTGCTCAGCCCCAATCCTATCTACATATTTGATGGCATCATGGCACAGAGGGAAAGGTTTCCTAGTCAGGCTTTGTAATCTCACTGCTTTCTATGTCTTGTGATATCACTGCCCGACTGAGGAATGCTTCCTCTGTGCCTTGATGCTGTCAATGGTGAAGATAGAATGGGGGACTGAGTGACACCATGGTTTCACTGGTAAATAGCTGGCAGCTTGCAATGCTGATTGCTGGTCACCAGGAGCACAGATAGAAGTCAAACATTTTGCTATGAATTTACAAAGGTTATTGTGCTCATGGTTGTTAAAATAAAGCTCATAGGGAATACAGAAAGTAGAATTCTCCTATATTTGTGCTCAGTCACTAACAACTTCTGCTACATAGGTTAACTCCATCAGGCAGTGGACTTGTGTATTGTCTTAAAAACAAAATCAATGAAATGTACCTATGCACACTTTAGGATTACACTTTGGGCAGTACTTCAATAATGACCATATATATATATATATATATATATATACACATTTCATCAGGCATATTTTCTCCACTCACTCCAGAATTTCTGATTAAGTTTCGTCAGTGTATTTGTGCTGCTCCCCCAATTCTCTACCCAGTGCAAAGAAACCTGAAAATTCCTAGTGAATAATGTCTGCCAAAACAGGTGAGGTCTGTGCGTGGCATTTCAGAAATTGCATAAATCAGAGTGAAGTAGCCCTTTATATATTAGTTACTAAATCAATTCTCAAGTAACAATGAAGGTGACTGGAGCAGGCTGGGAAAGGCACAGATGTCAAGGCATATACAAAACTAGTTTGCCTGTAAGAATAAATTCACTGACAGACTTCACAAAACTCCTACCGTTATTTTTTTTTTGTAATTGCACTTGTGCTGAACTTATTCAAAAAAGTAATACAAAAGCAAAATAAAGACTTGAAGATATTTTAGCTAAGAGAAAACCTTGTTCTTCCTGACATTAGGAGGATAAATCAATGACAACTGTCTTGTAGAAAAGGACTTAAGTATATTGGTGACCCAGCGGACCTTTTGCCACCACTATAAAGAAGCAGCCATTTTGTGAGCAGAGGATTGCCCAGGTGCATCTGACCGGAAGTATGAGCGGGCGCCTGTCAATACCAGGTACCCGCTCCCCCCCCTCCCCCAAAAAAGTGCCAAATGTGGCAGTGAAGGATGCAAACAAGTGGAACTTCCCCACTGGGTGAAGTTCCGTTTTAAAATTGCTTTGTTTAGTCATTTTCAGGGAAGCATTGTGCATAGTAATGCTTTTGCAGAAGAATCTATTCTAAGCAATCAGCAGAAATTACCCAGCATATTGGAAGGCTTTGGTCAAAGCATCCGATTCTGGATAATCTGAAAAGCCTATTTTCTATTGTTAATCATATGTATTATTAAGAGCATGCAATACTGAACTCTTCAACTTTGCTATTAGAAGTTTGGTGTTATCAGACTGACTGGTTATTAAGGGTTACTACTCCCCATTAAGATACCTGATTGATGATACATATTAATAGCATGACATCAAATAATGAAGGATAGACCACATTAGTGAAAGCCACCAGATTCCCCAGGTTTCTTTACTGTTTATTTGGACATGAAAACACAAAATCTGGTTTCTATGGGCAGAGCAGCCTGAGCTACTTTCATCCCCTGTTTAAAACACTTGCCACATAGAGCACAATACTTACAATGATAAAAAGTAACAAACGCATGAAAGATGTAGAGATTGTCTTATCAATTATGTACTCAGAGGAGTATAGAAATTTTAGGTAGTGGCCTGTTAACAGTACATATAACGTGGTCACAAAGAGCTAACAATTTTACATGCATTCAGACAAATAAATATTTATTGTGATAGACAAAGAATCACGGGACGCCAGGGTCAGTCAAGACATGGGCCTGTATCAATGAGCTTTGGGCTTGTGTGGATAGCCTCAACTTGAGACATATCTGAGATTATTCAAAATTCATTAACAGGTGTATTTAACCTCCTTTTGGCTTGATTCAAGTGGGCTTTGCATTCCCATAAACTTGTATAGGAATGCAAAATCGCCCTTAAAGTCTTCACTAAGCCAATAAAAAATGACTGGGCTGCATTCTCATGAAAACAGATCCATTCACAAAATGGCTGACTCCATAATGTGTTAAGCAATAGGTCCACAAGAAGCGGTTAGACATTACCCTGAATTGCTCACAGATGGAGGCTTGTCAAAAAAAAATGGTATTGTTAAATATTAATGCCTTGGCTATTTACAACTGTATAAAATCTTGTACAAATGTATACGATTGCTCATACATGTTTGGGGGTTTGTTACAAAAGGTAACAGTTCATGGTGGTTTGTATAGGAAATTTTTGTCTTTACACAAAAACAGATTTTTTTTTTTTTTTTTTTTACAGCTGAATTTTTACCACGACCGCAGAAAACATATCAGTGCTACAACATAAATCAATGAGATATTCCACAAAATGACTCATAAAAAGTGCATTTGTATACTCTGTAGTTGGCAGCAATATAGAAATACCTTCTAAACAAGTCAAGAATTAAAATATATATATAATATATATCTATAATTAAAACAGCATGTGGAAGATTTCCGATAAATTAACAGGAAAGCGGCTTGCTTACATCCCATGATTAAAAATTAAATTAAGTTAAAAGCATCAACAGTCAGCCATGTATCTTCCTGGAAGAGAAAACAGTGACAGAGAATGAATATCAACATATATCAAAATGAGAAAATAATTTAACATTTATATATTATAGTTACAGTAAATACTGATTAATATTGGGGTAGCAATGTGTTGTAGATTTTGTCTGCTTTACATCTGGGTGTTGTATTAATGCATGGTGGCAGGCATTCTAACACATTAACAGGCACATTTATTGCAAGCTTTTTGATAATCCAGAAAAAAAAAATCAGTACAGTCAGAGAAGATAGATGGGTAACCCAAAAGTGCTGACTGATATCAGGAATGGAAGAATTGGTGTATGAAGCCAGCGCCTACAGAAGCAAGTCCACTTTCATTCTCCATCCCTTTATCATCTCCAGAAAACATAAACCACAGAAGAGAACGTCCAACAAGCACACCAGACAAATGGCTTTCAGGAGAGAGGGTGAATTCTGGATGAGAAGACAAGGGGCTGCTAGAGACAAGTTGTTTTTCTGTCCACATACACCTTTTATATGTCACATACTCCTAAAAATGTCATTATGCAATGCTTGTTCAGCCCTACGGATGTCAGATAAACGTGATTTTGATGTAATGGTATATTATAGAAAACAATTTGGTTTTGTATAGAAGGTGATAAGTATCTGCTATGTAAATGTAGACTTATACAGAGTATTGTTATTATAACCTGGAGCTGTGTAGGTTTGCCATCTCTCCATTCCATGACCCAGCCTAAAATGTTTATGTTGTAAAATGCTGAAGACATTCTGAAGTCTATTCAAGCTTCTTATTCAGGTCTAACTGCAGCAGCTTTGATGATAGGCTACAAAATGTCTTTGACATTATAGAATAAATCAAGCTGAATGTTTAGCATTTCTGGGGTCTACACGTACCAGTTATATTGATATCAATTTTACATGAATTCTAGGCCCATTGCTGGGTATGGAGCTTTGATTTCTGGTCAAGCTGACATGAAGCCCCCACCCACAATTTATGGTTCTAAGCAATGCCCCCTTATCATCTGACTATTAAATGATAAACCCACTTAAGTTCTGGGATGACAGCTGAATTACAGTGGGTGAGGTAAAATTAAAAATAAGAAAAAAATACTGTACCTGTGCAAAACCTTTTTTTCACTAAAGAAAGGCGGTAACCTGTGCCCACTAGTTCAATGTCCACACCAGACAGGGTGCTGCCGTCACTGACAAACTGCACTGCCACAGTGCTCGGGTTGCTAGGTCCCTCTGAGACATCAAATTTTGCCCTGAGTGATCCAGATCCTAACAAATTACAAAACCAAAATCATATTTTCAGAGTCATAAAAGGTTGGTCTTTACTAAAACCTGCACTTTCAAGGAAGGTATTCATGTTACTACATATTAATTACAGGATAATGGATTCCATGCCCTCTACTGGCCCAGTGATATTATTATTAAGGTATATCACTAGCAGATGTTTGGTGGGTACAGACCACAGTTTGAAAACTTACCAACATACTCAGGAGCACACTTAGAGGTTCCTAGGCAACAGTGTTCAGCCCCTCAGTGTTAACCCTTCCCTGGTGAAACCTGCGGTAGCAGGACATTTGAAGGGTGGCCAATGGTGCAAACGATGAGGTAGCTCCCATTGCTCATTTTAATTGGCCTACTCAACAGAGGAAGTCGTAAGAGATTGGGCAAGGGCTGAAGCGATTCCAGTGGCTCTGCACCGGGAAAGCACAGAAGCAGAGCGCAGGGCCCAAGGTCATTTCCAGACTAACCCCACAACAATTTATGCAGATAGTTGCCATGTAAAGAGCAGCTCAAGCAGCAATGTAGTCATGAATCTTGATTGAAATCAAACTGAAGAATTCAAAGATTAAAAAAAAAAAGGCTAGCAAAAAAAGTTACATTTTTCTTAGCAGAGCTAAAGAAAAGATGTGCATCCTCATAGGACACTACCGAAAAAATGCAGATCCATGCTGGGTAGAGAAGGGGTTATCCCTGAGCTGCATTACGTATTTTGTTTGCCAGTGTCCAGTTCTCCTATAGGCAGCAGTATAACTGGACAGGATATGATTTCCTGTGTCCCTCAACAGATGAGAATGAAGAGGTTTTTTTTTTTATTTTAAATCTGTGCATTTATTTAATGTGACATTCAAAAAAAGGCTGTGATATGATTATTCTGTATATCAAAGTTCATCCCAGTGATCAAAAACAAGTCAATCTTGTGACATTTGCCACCTCATCCAATCGTTATTACACCATGGTCCCTTTTGATTGCTTTGGTCTGTAACAACTGTTTAATCAGGCTGTTTAAGATTGATTTGTTTTTGATCAATGGGATGAACTTTAATATAAAGAATATTTGTTCAGATCACTTTTTTTGGGATCTAAACGGTAATTTTTTACGCTTACCTACACAATTGTTTTTTTATCTTTTGATACTTGTTCATTTTGTTGTATTGATATGATCATATTTTATGCACTGCAAAACCTGTTTAGGTTTGACATTTTGGGGTATGTATACCTACCTTTTTTGCTGGCAGCCTATACAGTTGCAAGAAAAAGTATGTGAACCCCTTGGAATTACGTGGAGTTTTGCATGAATTGGGCATAAAATGTGCTCTGAACGTCATCTAAGTCACAACAATAGAAGAACACAGTCTGCTGAACATAATACTACACAAACATTAGATGTGGCATGGTTTAATTGCACATAACATGTAAACATTCACAGTGCAGGGAGGAAAAAGTATGTGAACCTTTGGACTTAATAACTGGTTGACCCTCCTTTGGCAGCAATAACCTCAACCAAATGTTTCCTGTAGTTGCAGATCAGACCTGCACAACGATCTGGAGTAATTTTGGACCACTCCTCTTCACAAAACTGTTTCAGTGTAGCAATATTCTTGGGATGTTCGGTGTGAATCGCTCTCTTAAGGTCATGCCACAGCATTTCAATCGGGTTGAGGTCAGGACTCTGACTGGGCCACTCCAGAAGGCGTATTCTGTGCTGTTGCAGCCATTGTTTTGTTTTGTTGAATTACTTGTATGCTTTGGGTCATTGTCCTGTTGCATCACCCATCCTCTGCAGATCTTCAGTTGGCGGACAGATAGTCGTACATTTGCCTGCAAAATGTCTTGATAAACTCTGGAATTCATTTTCCCATCAATGACAACAATCCGTCCAGGCCCTGAGGCAGCAAAGCAGCCCCAAACCATGATGCTCCCTCCGCCATGTTTTACAGTGGGGATGAGGTTTTGATGTTGGTGTGCTGTGCCTTTTTTTTCTCCACACATAGTGTTGTGTGTTCTTCCCAAACAACTCAATCTTGGTTTCATCTGTCCACAGTATATTTTGCCAGTAGTGCTGTGGAACATCCAGGTGCTCTTTTGCAAACTTCAAACGTGCTGCAATATTCTTTTTGGACAGCAATGGCTTCCTCCGTGGTGTCCTCCCATGTACTCCATTCTTGTTTAACGTTTTCCTTATTGCAGATGTGTCAACAAAAATGATCCCTATGATGTGCCAGAGATTTCTGTAGGTCTTTAGCTGACACTCTGGGATTCTTCTTTACCTCATGCAGCATACTGCGCTGTGCTCTTGCAGTCATTTTTACAGGACGACAACGCCTAGGGAGAGTAGCAACAGTGCTAAACTTTCTCCATTTGTAGACAGTCTGTCTTACCGTGGACACATGAACATCAAGGCTTTTGGAGATACTTTTGTAACCCTTTCCAGCTTCATGCAAGTCAACAATTCTTGATTGTAGGTCTTCTGAGAGCTCTTTTCTGCGAGGCATGATTCACATCAGACAGTGCTTCTTGAAACCAGTAAACCCAAAACAGGTTTGTGTTTTTTAAGGGCAGGACAGCTGTCAACAACACATCCAATATCATCACACTGATTGGAGTCAAGGTTGGCTCACTCCTGGCTCCAATTAGCTCTGGGAGAAGTCATTAAGCTAGGGCCTCACATACTTTTTCCTCCCTGCATTGTGAATGTTTACGTGTTATGTGCAATTAAACCATGGCAACATCTAATGTTTGTGTAGTATTATGTTCAGCAGACTGTGTTCTTCTATTGTTCTGACTTAGATGACGTTCAGAGCACATTTTATGCCCAATTCATGCAAAACTCCACGTAATCCCAAGGGGTTCACATACTTTTTCTTGCAACTGTATATTCACATACTAGAGCTGTTTTTAAATTTTTTTTTTCTAGGTTGTGTTTTTTCATGCATAGGCAAAGCAGATTCACCTTAAACATGCATGAATATGTCTGTAGTTACCTCCATTTTCAGATTTTTCTGAAATTGTAGATATTTTCCACAGGGCTTTCATCTGTTCAGAATTCCTGGAACAAAAAAAAAATACTGTGAGATATATCTTGTTAAAATACATAGGATTTATTTTGTTTTGAAAGAAAAAGAGAAATATTGATCCCTATGATGTGATAAGCTATGGCATAATTTGTATAAGGGAAGATCAGAGGTAGAGATAATGGAGAAGAAAGGACTCTAAAGCTCTTACTAATTGGTACATTGCTCATATTGTAGCATGCAATATTCCTGCATAACATGGCACATATAAAACTGACATGTGAACAGCTCTGTAAACTACAGCTTGTATGTATATGTTTGGTGCATACAGGATGCACTTGCTTAAAGTCCACCTTTTTTTTTCTTATATCTTTTATTAAATTTTATTTCAATATACAGATCAACAATGTATCATTTATCAAAACACATACATTCCAAATAACCTCTTTAACCCATTCCCTCATCACTTTGTCCCTCCCCTCCCATTAAATTACCTCTGTCCAAGTAATTTTTTCCATCTCTTTCTTTCCCTGTTTACCAACCTATGTCTAAAACCCTATTTTCTCTCTACTTTTCGGTTATCCAGTTATTCAGTTTAATTCTCCAACTCTATTACTGGGGCACCCCTCTCACTTTGAGGTATTTTTCAGATGTCTTAAAATCATGCCACCTACTCCAATGCTTTCTAAAGTTTTCCATTTCATCTTCCTCCATATGGTTTAACTCTTCCATCTTATTTATATACTCGATCCTATCTATTCAGTCCCTCATTGGAGGGTCCTGTACCTGCCAAAATTTGGGGATTAAACCTTTTGCCGCATTAATTAGATGGTAGAATATACAATTTTTATATTGTTTCACTGATATCTCTGACCTATAAAAAACACACCCTGTGTGAATGAGGCCTAAGCTGTTGGAAAAGACCTGAAACCTAGCTTAAGAATATCTGTTGTGATCTTTGCAAAAGAATAAGTTTACAGGGCGAGCAGTTAGATGTCTTGGTGTCTCTTATTGCTCTAATAATTCTAGCACCAGAGCTCCTCCGTAATGCTAAACTGATAACCTATAGGGACTTTTGAAGCGTCGTCTATAGAAAATATAGGGTACTGAAATTTGGCACAATTTCATAGTGCACACAAATTTAAAGTTTGGCATGCTGAATATCTATTTACTCGGAACAACCTCTACTTTACCAAAAATTTAGGTCATTTATTGCGTTTGTTTGCCCTAAAATTCACTGTAGTGTGATTTTTACTGAAATCTTGTGTTTCCTAGACCCCTGCAATAACATCATGTGACATAAAAAATTGTAGCTACCACTATTTTATTCTCTAGGGTGTCTACTTTCAGAAAATATATAATGTTTGGGGGTTTTGTGCAATCTTCAGGCCTAAAATGATTTTTTTTTTTTAAACGTGTACAAAAAAAAAATAATAATGCAAAAACGGCTCTGGCAGCCAAAGGGTTAAAGCGCTTTTATGGCTTGTTAAGAATTATTACATATTTTAAAGTCAATAGCCGGGATGCTAGGACACTAAGTATTCCAGAGGTTGTTAAAAAGCAGATTTTTGCAATGCACAGTACTTGATGTCTAATTAATTTTAGGAATTAGTCAAATTTCTATATCTGATTTTAGGAACCAAACAGGTCTATGAATAAATTAGTAAAAGACAATAAAACAAGCTCACCATATTGCATTTGGTAAAGACTGCATGTTTGTGACACCACCATCCACTGGAACCACAACCTGTATATTCGATAATGCACTGGGCCCCGCCATGGACTCTGGGTTGTACTTATAATCTAGCCTGACATCTGTAGTGGTGGGGTTACACTTCCAGTAGGTGGCAAGGTTCAGAGGTGTGGAGTGAATTCCATTTGATGACACCTGAAATGAGAACTCATGTTAGGTCCTTTAAGTCCCTGACAATTTAGGTGAAAAGATTTGTAAAAGATAAGTAAGAGACCCATCATAAAACTCAATGAACTCAAAAGGCTAATAAGCATCACTGATTTCTAGTCATAAACTAAAAGATGAAATGTACAAATGTACACTGCTCAAAAAAAGGAACACTTTGAAAACACATCAGAACTCAATGAGTAAAAAATATCATGCTGGATATCTATAAGGATACGGACTGGGTAATGTGTTAGGGAATGTAAGGATGCCCCATCGTTTTATGGAAATGAAAATTATTACCCTACAGAGGACTAAATTCAAAGACACCCCAAAAATCAAAGTGAAAAAATGATGCAGCAGACTAGTCCATTTTAATGGAATTTCATTGCAGCAACTCAAAATGGTAATCAGTAGATTGATTGGCCCCCACGTGATTGTATGCATGCCTGACAACGTCGGTGCATGCTCCAAATGAGACGGATGGTGTCCTGGGTATTTCCTCCCAGATCTGGAACAGAGGATCACTGAGCTCCTGGACAGTCTGAGGTGCAACCTGGTGGTGTCTGATGGAGCGAAACATGACATCCCAGAGGTGTTCTATTGGATTTAGCTCAGATGAGTGTGGGGGCCATTCAAATGGTATCAATTCCTTCATCCTCCAGGTACTGCCTGCATACTCTCACCACATGAGGCCGGGCATTGCCGTGCACCAGGAGGAACCCAGGACCCACTGCACCATCGTAGGGTCTGACAATGGGTCCAAAAATTTCATCCCAATACCTAATGGCAGTAAGGGTGCCATTGTCTAGCCTGTAGAGTTCTGTGTGTCCCCCCATGGATATGCCTCCCCAGACCATCCCTGACCCACCACACCAAAACGGTCATGCCAAACGATGTTACAGGCAGCATAACGTTCTCCATGGCTTCTCCAGATCCTTTCTTGTCTGTCACATGTGTTCAGGGTGAACCTGCTCTCATCTGTGAAAAGCACAGGGCGCCAGTGGCGGACCTGTCAATTCTAGTGTTCAATGGCAAATGCCAATTGAGCTCTACGGCACCAGGCAGTAAGAACAGGGGCCACTAGATGATGATGGTGTCCTCAGGCCACCCTCATGAAGTCTGTTTCGGACTGTTTGGTTGGAGACATTCACACTGGTGGCCTACTGGAGGTCATTTTGTAGGGCTCTGGCAGTGCTCATCCTCTTCCTCCTTGCGTGAAGGAGCAGATACCGGTCCTGCTGGTGGGTTAAGGACCTTCTATGGCCCTGCCCAGCTCTCCTAAAGTAACTGCCCGTCTCCTGGAATCTCCCCCATGCTCTTGAGACTGTGCTGGGAGACACAGAAAACCTTCTGGCAATGGCACGTATTGATGTGCAATGCTGAATGAGTTGGACTGCCTGTGCAACCTCCATAGGGTCCAGATATTGCCTCATGCTACCAGTTGTGACACTGATCCTAGCCAAATGCAAAACTAGTGAAAAACAATCAGAAAAGATGAATAGGGAAAAAAATGTAAATGGCCTCCACCTGTAAAACCATTCCTGTTTTGGGGGCCCTCTCATTGTTGCCCATCTAGTGCACCTGTTGTTAATTTCATTAACACCAAAGCAGCTGAAACTGATAACAATCCCCTCTGCTACTTAACTGACCAGATCAATATCCCAGGAGTTTAACTGACTTGATGCTATACTCTGATTATAAAGTGTTCCTTTCATTTTTTTGAGCAGTGTATTAATACTAGTATGAAACTTATGCAGTGTACACAGAGGAAGTTTGAGCAAAGCTCACATATTCTTGACTGAAAAACTACCACTGCAGACCTGAAGTCCCTACTGAACTCACTTGCAGACTGACACTCTGCATAGAGATCACAGGGAGTACTTTAGCTTTTATCCAAAATCCAGAAGGTATCGATAATGGTTAGGACTGTTTCAGACAAGAAATAAGAAAACTATGTATGGTGCTGTTCAGAGCCATGCACCCCAATAATCACTTGTATTGAGGAGCATATGGGCAGTTTCCATGGGACTCTGTCATTTCTGGCTCCCAACAGCTCTGCCTCTGCTTAAAATCCTAATTTCACAGTCTGGGTGCTTAAAAGACATGCTGTGCTAATGGAATTTTTCGCTCATACGGGCGCCGCCGGGGGAAATTTAAAAATTTTAAAAAATGTCATTTTTTTTTTTTTTTTCATTTTACACAGTAAAACACTGCAAATACAAGTGCTTTGTTTATCAATAGATGCGGTTTGTAGCTTAGTAATACGGAACCACTTGCATGTCTATTTAAAAATTTTTGAGTGGCGAACTTCTCCTCTAAAGCTGGGTCATATTACCATGCATAAAGTACACCAATCTACATCACTGCAAAAAAATGGTACGCTTTCAGCACCAAAAATCTGAAATAATCATACCGATGCTAAGGAAATTTTTTGCAAAAAGCTACAACGCAAGAGCACTATTTAACTATATACTGCAAAAAATGATAAATGATCCTTAGCTTGCTTCTAAGCTTCTTCCACAGGTAACAGGCTGTGAGACATTCTATTTCCTCTGTAATCTGAAATCTGGGCTTTGTGCATCCATTGCCACACACAGTGCAGCCTAGCCAAGGACTCCCGCTGTTCTCAGCCAAGCTTGTGAAAGTGGGGAGAGTGGAGAGAAAACTGACAGATGGGCACAGAGCTGGATCGATACAGGATATTGGGGAGGGGTGGCACAGCGAGTGGCAAAACATTTTTTTTTTTTCATCTTAATGCACGGAAAATGCATTATTATTACTTTTTATCAGAATTATTTTTTTTTTACCTTAATACAGGGAAAGAATAATGCATTATTCTTAATGGACGGGAATACACATGTGTAGACTTCCTCTGTAAACCAGAATGGCAAAGTCATCTACATGTAAGCCTGCTGGTCTCTCAGTGGACATAAAGTACAGCCCCTCTTTCAGTCAGTAACCTATATAAACGTCTGTTACCAATATGTTTCTGTGCAACATAAGGGTCTGCATAACTCACTTACTGTGATAGACCATAACAGCAACCATACATTTACATGAAAACGTAAATGATGCACATTGCACAGCACTGTAATCAGTATGCTTATTTGTTCATGTTAGTCATGCACAAAAGTTAAATAAACCAACTCAATAAAGAAAAAAAAAATACACAAATTTCATGACAACTTCCTATAAATTAATCCCCCTGCCACCTGGATCCCGACCTAGTCATCTTCACTTTGGAAACACAAGTGAGCTCTCTTCATACTCATGCCACCAACTATCCATGTAAACATTTTACTGATCATGACGGTTGCCGCTACATTCCTCTAATCTAAAAGCAAAGTATGAACTTCAGCTAGCAAGTCACCCAAATCCAGTAAATTAGGTACAGACACCCTATCTTCCAACAAAAGAAAAACAGCCAAACCCTTAATGAGCACATGTTACAAGCTTTACCTATGCCATGAGACGTCCCGAAAAACAACACACTAAAAACTACCCTGTAAACAGTGCAAAAATAGCAGCTTTAAAAAAAAAAAAATTGTCAGCACCAAAATCACTAAAGAGGAACTAAATTCCAGCTGTCAACAAATGTGAGCATGCAGGCTCTTTATTGCAGAAGAGACATGCCATGCAATCATTTGGATTGATTTGTGTCCTTTTAAATGGCAGATTCTGGAAGCACATCCAGAAAAATATTTTTGAAATCTCCCCTGCTCCAGCATCCTCTAGGAGGGTGGTTACATTTGCTCTACACTTGATGTGCTGCAATATATTACATTTTTGTTTTTGATACTGCTTCAACTTCCTAGATCAATACAATTTATTTCTAATTAGCGTGTGGTCTGTTAGAATATAATTGCACTTCCTCCATAAAGATCAATTTTTGCAACAGACGGGTTAAACCATAGTTCATCAGAAACAAAACCTGGTGACTACTACCAGGAACAGCATGCCCTTTTGATATACCGTATTTGCCGGCGTATAAGACGACTTTTTACCCCTTGAAAATCTTCTCAAAGTCGGGGGTCGTCTTATACGCCAGTATACGGCATACTGTCACTTTTTAGGGGGGCGGCGCGTTGCCGCCGCCGCCGCCCCCCCCCTTCCCCCAATGGAAGGGACACTAAGTACAGGGGTGGGCAGCGGCTGTTTCTTACCTGGTTCCGGTCCCACGACGATCCGGTCCAGGAAGCGCGGCTGCGCCTTCAGTTCGGCCACTGGATGTTCGTGCGGCTGCTCGGCTCCGCATCCTCACCAGTGATTGGCCGCCAGAACTGTAGCTCAGGAAAGGCACACAGGCGGCCAATCACCGGCGAGGGGGTGGAGCCGAGCGGCCCCGCGAAAATCGAGTGCAGGACCAGCAGGTAAGTGGTCAGTGTAGAGGTGCTGCTGCAACCACATATGCTGGCTGCAGCAGCACCATACGAGAACAGGGTCAGCAAGTGTCAGTGGGAGGAATAGTGCCCCATCATTGGTGTCACTGATACCAATGATGGAGCACTATTCCTCCCACTGACACCAACACCATTCCTCCCACTGATGGGGCACTATTCCTCCCACTGACACCAACGATGGGGCACTATTCCTCCCCCCCACTGACACCAACGATGGGGCACTATTCCTCCCCCCCACTGACACCAACGATGGGGCACTATTCCACCCCCCACCCCCCACTGACACCAATGATGGGACACCATTCCTCCCACTGACACCAATGTTGGGACACTATTCCCCCCACTGATACCAATGATGGGGCACTATTCCCCCCACTGATACCAATGATGGGGCACTATTCCCCCCACTGATACTAATGATGGGGCACTATTCCTGCCACTGATACCAATGATGGGGCACTATTCCCCCCACTGATATTAATGATGGGGCACTATTTCTCCCACTGACACCAATGATGGGGCACTATTCCTCCCACTGATACTAATGATGGGGCACTATTCCTGCCACTAATGCCAATGATGGGGCACTATTCCTGCCAATACCAATGATGGGGCACTATTCCTCCCACTGATACCAATGATGGGGCACTATTCCTCCCCCTGATACCAATGATGGGGCAATATTCCTCCCACTGATACCAATGATGGGGCACTATTCCTTCCACTGACACCAATGATGGGGCACTATTCCTCCCACTGATACCAATGATGGGGCACTATTCCTCCCACTGACACCAATGATGGGACACTATTCCTCCCACTGATACCAATGATGGGGCACTATTCCTCCCACTGATACCAATGATGGGGCACTATTCCTCTCACTGACACCAATGATGGGGCACTATTCCTGCCACTGGTGTGCATTGGAAGAGGGGTAGTCTTATACGGCGAGTATAGCTCAAACACTAAATTTTAGCAGGAAAAGTAGGGGGGTCGTCTTATACGCCCAGTCGTCTTATACGCCGGCAAATACGGTAGATACAGTACAAGCATTCCTATTTTTTTATTTTTTTAAATGAGTAAGATATAAATGTGCCCAACCTGGTATTTTAAGATGTCCACATTATAATAGGAGGCAGATGGGTTCTGCTCAGAAGATTTCTTGAGGTAGGCAGTGACTGCTTGCATATTCATCCAGAAGTCTTTACAGTTGTTATCGCTCTGGGAAGGATCACTGTAAAGGAAATGAATGAAAATAAAAGGCTCAGACAGGAAACACACGGCGTAATTTATCAGTGGAATAATGAAAAAGCCGACATGCCACCCAAACATTTATAGGCAATGGCATTTTTTCCCTAATTTGCAATAAAACATTGACACCTGGAATATGGTTGTTCTAGGCAACTCCTACACAATTCTTTACCTTTTGTCATCAGAAATCAGCATATCTCAGGATGAGGCAGAAACAGTATACTGTTAAAATCCTAATTTTTCTGACAATAAAAGTATGAATTCAAAATAATAAAACCACAAACTTGGAGAAAACCACCAATAGGGAGTTGAAAATAGCAGGGTCAACCATATACTTACAAAAAAGCAAAAGATGAACAGAATAAAGGTTCTGCAAACAGGCAGAGGAAATACTTGTACATAAATAAAGAGATATTTTAGGTTTACACTTTTATGACACTTTAAAACCACAGTTGACACACACATTCAGTATATGAATCATTTTACCTGCCAAATGTTCTCTGTTCACCCAGTTTTGTGATGCAGAAATCCATAAACTGCAAGGCTGGTGACCTCATACTTCTGTACTTCAGTTAAGCAATACAGTGAAGTCACAAACTTGCCCCTAGCCAGTGAATGGACTGTGGAGGCAGAATTACACTGATGAATGCCACTACAGCTCCCAGTGTAAACAGGAGACTGGTATCAAAACAAATCTGGGTATATGGCATCCTGGGTCTGTGTAACAATTACAATCAATGAATCTTTAAAGTGTTACTAAACCCACAACAGTAAAACCAGTCTGTATATGCAGTAAAGCATGCGTGTTATACTCACTGTGGAACCTAAGGGGTTAATCCTCTGCATTGTGTAAAAAGGCTGCTTGATCCTGTCTTCTCTGACCCTCCCCTTCTTCACAGTGCTCAATCCATCTGCTGATAGTACAGAACCATAGGAGGCACTTTGCACATGCTCAGTTTGGTGTGTATTGCTAGAGATTTGTTTTGAGAGGGAGCGTGTGATCAGCACAGGGCCGATCAGCACTGTCCAGGCAGGGTCAGGGGTCATGCAGTCTCACAGAACAGTCAGAGAAGAATGAAAACTCCTCCTACAAGATTAACCAGTGCTTGGCCAGACACCGATAACAGTCACAAGACTGCTATAAACTGGTGATGAGAAAAGGTATTTAGCAGTTTATATTTACTAAAATAATTGCATTTCCATGTTCTGTGTACTGTGGCGAAACCAAATATAGTGAATACACCCTCCTGGGTTTAGTAACACTTTAATGAATACAATATTAAGATTAAATGGTGTTTCTTTATAGCTGCCTGTGATTCAACTCTTAATTTAACCACAGGTCAGTAAAACAAATGATCAAGCTAATATACTGTAGTTAACTTAAACGAGGTTTGTCAACACAGAAACACTGCAGCATACAATGCAAATTTACTTTCAAAAGTACAAGTTTCGGGGCTTTCTTCCCTGTACTCGACCATTGAGAAATCACTGACCTGGAACAAGCTTGCAGGTAAGGGATTCTGATTTTACTGGCTACATGCTGATTCCAGTTCATATAATATGTTTACTTATTAAGCTTAGGATGCAAACAGAAGAGTGTCTGCTGCAGTAAGACCTAAACAGACGGCACATAAGAGCATGTTGCCAAAGCTCTGGTACTGAGCGGATTCAAAAAAATAATCACAGAGATACTTGTGGAATGTGAAGGAGCTCTTAATACACACCTGTATAAAAGTTGAGTATTTGGTAGAATTTGCTCAAGCTTGCTGGTGTTTTTTAATCTGAAGCAAAGCACTGCTGGAGAGGGGTTACTTGTGAACACTTTAATAATTCCACTTGGAAATGACACGGTCATATCCCCAGTAATCTTGACAATACATCTGTAGAGAAAGAAAGGTATTGTATGCAGGAATATTATAAATACTTTTTTAATCTCAGTATTCAAGTGTGAACACATTTTACCTTTAATGAAGCATAAGAAACCATGAAAATTGCCTTACTTTGCTGGGTCTGCTCCTTTGAAGTAAGCGTTAACAGACTCCGACATCGCTACAGCAACAGGTAAAGTGTCCTGGGATCCTAAGGTAACTGGACTTGGCCCACGGGATATACCTAAAGCAAGTGAAAAATGAGTCATCTGTGTGAATGGAAATGTCAGGATAGCATAACCCCAAACTAAACAGTCAGTTCAGCAAAATGTGATAAGGCTAAGTAGATAACTATGGGTTGAATGATCAACTGATCTCTTACCACACTCTGAAAGAAAGTGCTCCATGATTGCCATTATAAGTGGCTCCAAAAAATTACATTCAATTTCTCTTTAACCACTTGCCAACCGCAGAGAGCCGAATGACGGCTACTCTGTGGCCGGCCAGTTCTGGGAGGGCGTCATATGACGTCCTCCCAGAACGCGCTCTCCTGCGCGCCCCCGGCGATCTTTGTGAACACTGTGTCCTACGGACACAGCTGATCACGTGATGTGGTAAAAGGCCAATCACAGCGGCCTTTTACCACATGATCAGCCATGTCCAATGACATCAAGCTGATCACCGGGAAATGCAATTGCCGGTTCTTGGCTGCACTTTCCTCACGCTGTCAGAACGTGAGGAAAGTACTGCCGAGAACCGGCAGTTGTCAGAGCAGGGATCGGCACTGATGATCAGTGCCCTGATGATCGGTGCCCAGCAGTGCACCCACCTGTGCCCAGCAGTGCCACCCACCTGTGCCCACCAGTGCCACCCACCAGTGCTGCCAGTCAGTGCCCAGCGGTTGTGCCAGTCAGTGCCCAGCAGTTGTGCCAGTCAATGCCTAGCAGTGCCTCCAGTCCATGCCCAGCAGTGATGCCAGTCATTGCCACCTATCAGTGCTGTCTATCAGTACCCATCATCAGTGCCGCCTAGCCGTGACACCTCATTAGTGCCTCCTATCAGTGCCGCCTAGCCGTGCCACCTCATTTGTGCTGCCTATCAGTGCCCATCAGTGCTGCCTCATCAACGCACATCAGTGAAGGAGAAAAATTACCTGTTTGAAAAATTTTATAATAGAAACAAAGAAAATTTTTTTTTGCAAATTTCTTTTCATAGCGAAAAAATAAAGTGCCCAGCGGCGATTAAATACCACCAAAAGAAAGCTCTATTTGTGAGAAAAAAATGATAAAAATTTCATATGGGTACAATCTTGCATGACGGCGCAATTGTCAATCAAAGTGCGACAGCGCTGAAAGCTGAAAATTGGCCTGGTAAGGAAGGGGGTATAAGTGCCCAGTAGGCAGGTGGTTAATTTAACATTATGGTAGCAGAACTAAGAACATGCAGCATGTGCTGTGCTCAGCCAGGAATATTCCATTGTTAGAGTACTTAAACCATAACAGCCTACAGAAGGCAGCTCTGCACACTCACTGGTGTTGCTTCCCTGTGCCAGGGTGAACAACTGCAATGCTTTTTTCTGTCTTTTTCAAATACATTTTCCTAAAATGTCTGCTAGTGCTTGCAGGACTGTGTGCATAACATGAACCAGGACACATATGCCTATGCAGGGCAAAGCATGCATGTTCACTTTATTTTGCCCTCTTCTCCAGCTCTTCTATTGACGGCACCCACTTACCGAAATGATTAATCACTACAATAGGATATTCACTTTTGAGTCTAGGATTAGTTTTTTTCACGCTTTTTTACTTTTGAGTAAAAAGAAGCCTAAAGCTCCACCAACTAGATCAAAAGTGATGCAATATATTTTTTTTAAAACCCAACTGACAAAAGTATTAAGGCCCATTTGCTTGATTATTATATACTTTTTTGTTCCATTGCCATGTATTCTGCTCAGAATCAATTTGACAGATTGCTGAAGACTTACACTTTTAGGGACCCTACGTTCACTTTTGGAGTCTCTATGGATCCCAGATAAAGTCGCAAGTGTGCTCCCCTCAGGGATTACATACATATGTGAAGTTGTTTTCGGTGCAGACACGCATAGGGAACACATAGAGGCTACAGTGAAGGAGGATGTCTGCTACACCCCCCTGATTTTGATTGACAGTTAAATATCATCATTAAGATTTAGCACAGAATTTGAAAAAGAATGTCATTAAAGTTTACTGAAAGAAAACAAAATAACATTTCTGTTGATTGTCTACTGCAGGTAACTGAGGGACGAGAGGCCAATAAACAGTCTCTGAAAATTGTGTGTGCAAGAAAGAAGAAAGACAGCGCAAGAGACATCTATTGAAAGTGAAATAAACGTTTTAAACCCATATTTAAAAGAAATCAAAAAATCTGTGTTATTAAATGTATTTAAGGAGAATCACAGTTTTATGGAGGGTTTGTTATTAATTTAATATGCAATCAATTATATTGTCCTGACCAATTTAATTTATTTATAACCCCAACCAAAATATTCTCTGCTCCAGAAGTGTCCTGAAAAAAAGCAGAGCTTAGCAGTGCATATATGTAATGACTGCACAAAAACAGTGTACGTGAAACCAATGGGACAGGAGCCTACCTGACATTATTATTGTAGATACATGCGATACTAGTTACATGTGATTTTAACTGTCGTGTGAAACTAAGGCTGTTTGATATGCTACAAGCCTTTTGGAAAGTCATGACTACTGTAGCATTTGTCTTTCTTTATTGTTCCACTTTGTTTTAAGGTCCGTTCATACCAGAAAGCGGTGCGGGAAATCTGTGTTCTGTGCGCGTTTCCTGCACCATATTAAAAATCCACTGGGTGTGCAGTGCGTTTGCATCGGGTCCCATGGTACTGCAGCACTAGACAATATGGTTACAATGCTTTTTTAAAAGTAATGCATGCGCTACCTTTGGTGTGATCCAGTGCGACTTCTGCCCATTTAAGTGAATGGGCTGAAAACTGCTTTGTACTGAATCGCACAGGAATTAGTGAGAACCGTCTCTTAGCACTGTAATGCTTAACCCCTTCGTGCCTGAGGGTAAAACAAACCTTAACGCCCAAGCACAAATCGGGCTTTCATTTGGTGGTAAATGGTAATGGATATCTCCTGATTGTTTTAATACCACAGGAAAACTGGCCCAAAATAAAAAAAAAAAAAAAAAAAAAAACTTTAAAATTTAGCTGTATATTTCCTGCTACTACCATTACCTACCACCAAAGAACAACCCAAAATACCTTCTCCTGCTCCTGACGATCGCAGCGATACCATGTGTGTATGTTGTTTGTACCCGTAGTAAAGCCCAGAAACAACAGTGCGCAATTTGCTTTTTTTTTTTTTTTTTTTTATCCTGCCACTAACTGACACAAATACTAATTGGAAAAAAAAAAAACCCTGACCAAAAAAAAAAAAAAAAAAAAAAAAAAAAAACCCTGACCCAAACACTAACCCTGGACAGACCTAGATCAAACTGTGATCTACACCGTGTTCCAAATTATTATGCAAATTCTATTTAAGTGTCACAAAGATTAAATATTTTGTTTTTCAGTTTAACTCATGGGTGGCATTGTGTGTCAGGGCTCTTTTGATCACTGAAACAATCTCGGACACCTGTGATAATTAGATTGGCAGGTGAGCCCAATTTAAGGAAAAACTACTAAAGGAGGGTGTTCCACATTATTAAGCAGAGCGCCATTTTCAAGCAATATGGAGAAGAAAAAGGATCTCTCTGCTGCCGAAAAGAGTGAAATAGTTCAATGCCTTGGACGAAGTATGAAAACATTACATATTTCACAAAAACTTAAGCGTGATCATCGCACTATTAAGAGATTTGTGGCTGATTCAGAGCACAGACGGGTTCGTGCAGATAAAGGCACATTGAGGAAGATTTCTGCCAGATCCATGCATCGGATCAAGAGAGCAGCTGCTAAAATACCATTACATAGCAGCAAACAGATATTTAAAGCTGTTGGTGCCTCTGGAGTCCCACGGACATCAAGGTGTGGAGTCCTCCAGAGTCTTGCAACTGTGCATAAACCTTCTATTCGGCCACCACTAACCAATGCTCACAAGCAGAAATGGCTGCATTGGGCAGAAAAATACATGAAGACTAATTTTCAAACAGTCCTGTTCACTGATGAGTGCCGTGCAACCCTGGATGGTCCAGATGGATAGAGTACTGGTTGGTTGTTCCAAGAAGGCTGCGACGTCAGCAATGGCGGTGGTGGAGTCATGTTTTGGGCCGGAATCATGGGAACAGAGCTGGTCGGCCCATTTAGGGTCCCGAAGGTGTAAAGATGACCTCTGCAAAGTATGTGGCGTTTATGACTGACTACTTTCTTCCATGGTACAGAAGGAAGAACTATGCTTTCCGTAATAAAATCATCTTCATGCATGACAATGCACCATCTCATGCTGCAAAGAATACCTCTGCATCAATGGCTGCTATGGGGATAAAAAGGAAAAAAGTCATGGTGTGGCCTCCATCCTCCCCTGACCTCAATCCTATTGAGAACCTTTGAGGCATCCTCAAGCAAAAGATCTATGAGGGTGGGAGGCCGTTTACATCCAAACAGCAGCTCTAGGAGGCTATTCTGACATCTTGCAAACAAATTCAACTTTGTCCAAAAACTCATAAGTTCAATGGATGCAAGACTTGTGAAGCTGCTATCAAATAAGGGGTTCTATGTTAAAATGTAACATGACCTGTTAAAATGTTTAAAAAATTAGAATGTTGTTAAAAGTTTGATTGAAATATCTTTTGATTTCAGTAAATACGCTGCAAACACAACAAATGACAATTTTCAGTTCTTTACAACCTATAAAGTGTTTTGAAACTTACTTCCATAATTTGGAAAAGTGCATTGTAAGTTTTTTATGTTTAAAAAAAAATACTGTTATCATTAGGAGGTTTGTTCAATAAAATTTGAATTGTACTCTTAATAGTTGATAACATGAGAATTATGCTGACTGTTATTTTCATCAATTATTTAGGTAAATGAGAAAACTATAATTTGCATAATAATTTGGAACAGGGTGTAGGTACTTTTGTTTATTTTTTTAATAATTATTTTTACAAACTTTTTTTTTTCTCTGAAAGGACAGAGAGAAATACAGTGTCTCTCTCCCCTCCATTCAGAGAGAGAAACAAGGGGAGGGCTTCATAGTGACTGATCAATGTTATAAACAGAGACTCACAGCAATCAGGTGACCCGGAATCGAGAGTTCCGGGTCCCGATGGTTAGAACAGGACCCGGGGCTCTCAGTGACACCCTGGTCTTTGTGCTGGGAGCGCGCCGCACCGCACACGCCAGCAGAAAGACAGGTGCACAAATTAGCAGTCCCACGGAAACAAGCCCAGTTCTGTCAGGCCGCTAGTATGAGTGAGGTCAGCGTCAAGAGCTTAATATGATATGCTAACAGTATGTATTACTTTTTATATTAATCATTTTTCCGATAATAATACGTTTCCCCTATGTTTGTAATACATTTGAAATTTCCTTAAATCATAGTTTGTTAATGTTAACATGTTATTGTAATGAATAATGCTACACCCTTGTGGAACAGGAACTGGGAGCGTTTCCATGGTTACGACGATGAAGGAAAAGTCTTGACAGGTACATGACAGATGCACATAGCACTTACCAAAAGTGGGAGTATTTGCTGCACTAATTGAAGCAGACGAGGATATTGAAGAAGAGCTTTCTGCACGAGGCAAAGAAGCAGAGGAAGGGGGGCTAGTGTTAGATGTCACAGGAGGGCTGAACGGTCGCGGCTTTAAAGGAAACACAAATAAAACTAATGAAATACTAAAAAAATAAAGTTAATTAGTTGATATTTTTCTAAGAAAACTGCTTATTCATTAAAATAATCCTGGGCAAATATAGAAAACCACTTTTTGGCTTACCTTAAAGCATTTTTTAAAGAAATGTTAGGGAAACAGAACAAAATAAAACTATTTTGGGATGATTGAAGGAAAAAATAGCTGCAAGGTATACATATGCAAATGTCTATGCTTCAGTCACATTATAACACATCGAGCATATTTGTTCACAAGGTGATGATACAGGTGTCCGAATCTGCCTTGTCTCCAGAGTGGCTGATTGACATCACTGTGCTGCACTGGTGTGCAGAAAACGGGCGCTGAAAAAAATTACTGCATGCAACGCACTTACAGCATGCCTTCAGAAACAACTTTACGAAATGTCACTCTGTGACATTTCAATAAAGTTTGTTTTAAAAAAGTGAAAAAAGTGAACAGCGTGAGGCGCCAGAATCGGCGCATCAACACTGCCTTTCCCGCAACACACACCAGCTGCTGCTTTGCATCGCAGCGGCTGGTGTGACTGTGCCCTTACAGTTACTGTTGTTCTAAAGTATGTTCTCTACCAAACTACTAAGCCATCAAATGACTTGGGGCAATAGAGATGGGAAGGCCTGGGGGCCACTAGGGAGCACGGCAGGGGAAAGGCTCCAGTTTAGTTTGCTTGTGGGCTCCATCTTGTACCTCCTATAGTTGGGTGATTGCTGGAATACAGTAGATAATAGTTTCTGTCCTCTCAGGGCTTACATGACAGGTAGGAGGGTAGATTTGTCTAACAAATTAGTTTATCTTTATAACCTTTAACAATTTCTATCAATGTTCTCCACCATCACAGCATAATGTTTATCTATAGTCTGGTCAGTAAATTGTTTTTTTTCTTTTCCTCATTTCAAATTTTGAGATCAACATCAGCACAGTGGCTAAATGGTTAGCATTTCCGCCTGGCAGTATTAGGGTTGTTGGTTCGAATCCCAACCAAGATACCACATGCCTGGAGTCTGCATGTTCTACCTGTGCCTGCGTGGGTTTCCTCCGGATACTCTGGTGTCCTCCCACACTCCAAAGACATGCTGGTAGGTTAACTGGCTCCTGTCTAAATTGGTCCTAGTATGTGTATAAATGTAAGTTGGGGACTTTAGATTGTACGCCCCTTGAGGGTTAGGGAATGATGTGAATGTACAATATATATGTAAAAGCAATGTGTAAATTGACGGCGCTCTATAAGTACCTGTAATAAATAAAATAATAAACATCTACAGTTTAGAAACATTTTAACAGTGCAATTTCTGCTGAGAGCTAAACTGCAAATATTCTTTTCCAAATGCTTCAAAGATAAAAAAACACATCCTGGCAGGCCAGAGGTGCCGTAAAGACCATATATACTACTTTATAGAGTGAAATGATGAGGACTGTAATGAAAGTGCAAGTAGCTTTTTCTTCCAGAGTTCTCATTCCAGAAACACTTTTTCTGCTTTGGATCATTACACATTCTAAAAAGCAAGTTCAGTTTACTTACTGAATAAGTTGTACTTTTATTTCAAGCATAATACTTTTATATACACTGCATGTTATGTTCCTAGTGTAACAAAATTACTTTCAAATTGTAAAACTACTCCACACTGAGGTTTTTGTTTTAATTTTTCCGAAAGTAAAATTTTTTCCCGGAAAAAAAACGAGGAAAAAAGTTTTTTTTTCTCATAGCTTCAAAATATCCAGAAATGTTACATCTCTAGTCATAGATGATCACGTGTGCAAGACCATGGCAACTGCAGATCAAGCAGAGGCTAAGATGACAACTTCCTTTGTTGTAAAGTATCGGAGGATTTACGTCCGCTTTCATAAAATAATAACTGAAGGATGACACTTAAAAGTACATAAAAACCACAGAACAGCAATCTATGCATGAAATGATCACAAGTGCATCTAGACTGCTTGTTAGCCGTAATGCAAAGGCCTAAAGGGGGAATACATTTCGATTTTCAATAAAAAGAATGCTATGGGATTTTTAGTACCACAAAGCATTTCCTATAATTACCACTTGCAAAAATTGCTCATTTCCTGTACATTAACCACCTGCACAGAGGTTTAGAAGGGTCCGAATATTATACCTCTAGCTAACTCCCCCTTCATAGACAGAAGTAAATTATTTTCTTGTTTGATCTGTGGTCTGGCTACTCCATAGTCCTTCAGGAAGAACAGAGCTGCAAAGGTGTTGCTTATGCCATCAGGCAAGTCACAAAAGAAGATGTGTGTTCCAGTTCTACAGACAGATGTCTCCCTGCCTGTCATTCAGGGGAACGACACCTGATATAATGTTGTCAGAAACTGACAAATAATCACTTTTGTTATAATTTAGAATCATTACTTTATCCACCTAGTCTAAGATGACACATCATACTATATTACCAATTAATGTTTCTGCATTATTATTGTACCAGGTTTTTATCAATACTCACTAATTCATTTATTCCACTGAGTTTGCCTGAAGGAAGCTTTGGTCTTGATGGAGGCCGTGGAGGGGGTACAATTGTGCCTACCGAGAGTGGTGTGGTTGGTCGTGCAGGTGGCGACACTGTTAGAGAAAACATGGTTTTAGCAACAATTAACGAATGTCTACAGTGCTAAAAAATGTTTAGCTCCTACTCTGAGAGGACCCCAAAGAAAGTTTTTAAAAGCAAATAAACTGATGAATTAAATCATACATTTGATGGAAAGTGCTTATTGTTAAAATATATGCTTTCCAAGATGCTACATTACTCTTTGACCAGAATGTTACTACATAGGTTAGATTCTTTGCTTTGACCACAAGCAGGTTCCCATAGTTGGTGCACTCCCCAGATGGACAGCTGAACAGCCAATCAGCAATTACCAACAATCACCTATGTTGTCATGTAGGAGAAATGAGTCACATGCTCCCCATGGGCAGAAGTGCCAGAAATTCCTGAAAGAAGGGGCATGGTAGTAAAGGGATGGTAAGCATATGAAGTTGGGGAGAGGAGCAGTTAAGTGAACTTGTTTTTTTGGCTTGCAGGGGGCAAAGCACAAGTTCCCTTTAAATTTTAGAATTCTCCATTTTAAGAAATTCAGGATTCTAGTATGAACAGCAGTCAGGGTAGAAATAACTCATGAAAGTCTTTTCATCTCTCATAATACTGTCCTAACATTACTTCAAGATGACTGTCCTACCAGACAAAGTAGCAAGGACATACAACTTCTCAAAATGACCAGTCAGTCTTGGCAGACCAGTCAAAGAGGTTTTCTGAGATGGACTAAAGTTCTCTGCCTTAATAAATACAAAGCCAAAATAATATTAGGTGACACTTAACAGCTTGGGTCCAGTTAAAACTCAACATTCCATTCTGCAGGTTACAGCCACAGGACAACATAAGTATTTTTTTATCTTTATATTTGTCACTACTCCTGCTTTATTAGCATATACACAAAGTACAAAGATTAATATGTCAAGGAACGTGCTTACACACACGATAACCAAAGCTCCAAGTTGGGTCAACAGGCTTCATTTTTGCTCCTTAAGGTTACTCCTGGCCCCACATATATACTAAAAGCAAACTGCCAAATGCAAACAATTTCATGTAAAAACTTGTAGGACTCAGTGTGACAATTCAGTATAAAACTTACTACAAAGCTACACCTACTGAAATATTCGTAAATGCTACCAACTCTCTCATCCAAGGCCCTAAAGCAACCCCGTTTGAACTCAGCCAATACAATATAATTAACAGGCCTGTTCATTTGTTTCTATAAATCAATGCGACGCATATGGTGACCAATCAGGACTCAGCTTATACAGCGGCTTCTTCAAGGATGTAGCATTTAGCTTTCAAACTGTGATAACCAGTGCCAACATTTTTGTACTTTTTTCTGTTCTGTAAGTGTTCTGAATTAAGAAAGACTAAGTGCACCTTTGCGATAATGTTAACATTGTGACAGTGATCACCGTAACTAGTTTATTTAGTGTGTTTAAAGCCTACATACTACATGCCATCAGTCTAGTATCTTGAAGTTTTACAAAAGGAGGGCACAGAGGGGATGAAACAGAAAAGCTTTAGAGTTTATTGGTGTTCTATGAAAAAGATCATAACCAATGTAAAGGTAGATGTGTATGCTTCCCTGATGATTCCTAACAGCCAATCAAACTAACCTTCAGAGCATGCATATCTGAAGAAGTCTGGGAAGGCCTTCTTTGACAATAAGACTATCAGGGGAATTCAACAGAGCACATGTCAATTTTCTGTCAGCATGGCCCTTTACAAAAAAAAAGCCTGCTCCAGATTAAAAATCCCTGCCGCCAATTTCAGTTGTTTGACTGAAACGTGTGGCAGATTCAAGTACTCCTTCAGAGAATCATTTTCGAAAAGTGGTGCTATGGCTACACTAAATTCAAAATGACTTAGCTCCAGGTTTTGTATAACAAAATTGGAGGTAATCAAGACCAACTGTAGCTTAGGTGTACAGAGATAGGCAAAGTGCCTTTCTCTGTATACTGTGCAGCAGGGCTGCATGTTTGCCTCTGCTATCACTTCCTCTCCCACACCTTTCACTGGTTGTTTAGGACGCTATCATATTCACAGTCAACTAGCAACCGCTGGCGTTGACCATGAATGAAGCCTGCTTGAGATGCTGAAGGAGTAGTTTCCCATCTGGTCTGCTCTTTCCTTGTGATTAACTATAGACAGTGGGTGCAGTCTATAGCCAATAGCAGGCTGTCTATTGGCTAGGGAACTGTCCAATGCCTGCCGTCAATCAAAAGGGGGAATCTATGGGGCATTGCCAAGAGAAAGATGAGAGACATGAGACCGAACAATGCAGAAGAGCTGAAGGCCGCTATTGAAGCATCCTGGTCTTCCATAACACCTCAGCAGTGCCACACGCTGATATCTTCCATGCCACGCCGCATTGAGGCAGTAATTGCTGCAAAAGGGGCCCAAACCAAGTACTGAGTACATATGCATGTTTATACTTTTCAGAGGTCCGATATTGTTCTATGTACAATCCTTGTTTTATTGATTGCATGTAATATTCTAATTTTCTGAGATTGTGGATTTGGGGTTTTCATGAGCTGTAAGCCATAATCATCACAATTATGACAAATCACGGCTTGAACTATCTTGCTTTGCATGTAATGAGTCTATCTCATATATTAGTTTCACCTTTTAAGTTGCATTACTGAAATAAATGAACTTTTGCACGATATTCTAATTTTTCGAGTTTCACCTGTATAGCAGCTAGGATGTTTTGAAGTGCACTTATTCTTTTACCATCTATGATTTATGTATACCTTACTGTAAAGCTCTATAAAAGAAAAATGTAATAAGGCTACATTAGATGACTGTACATCTCAAAAGAGCTCACTATATATACACATCAGTGCAATGTATACAAGTATTTAGTACCAACGCAAAATAACTCTAAATGTTCATTAACATTTACACATTAAAACTCTTCACTCCATGCACATAAACACATGCAGTTTCAGCACAAAACATCCATTTTCAAAATACAAGTTTGCATACACAAGTACATCCATATGTAAATCCATTGAACACACAATATGCTTATGTCATATGCAAACCAATTAAAAAAAAATAGCAAATCAAGCTGCTTGGAAAACGAAAATCATATTAAGCATAACAAGATGCAACGGACACAAAATAATGTAAACAAAGGGATATGAGGTACATGTCCACATAATGACTAGAAAAGAAGTCCACTATTTGGGGACCACACTGCACAACAAAGCAACACAAGGCATGCTTTGTCATACCATTGTTTGTATGAACTGTAGGTAGGCTACAGTTTATAGAGGCAGACTTTGAAGACTTGTCAGAAGGATTTGAGTTTTCTTCAACAAATACATCATCAAGACAATAGTTGGCATTAGAGAAACCTACATATTCTTCAAGAACATAGTTCCTCAAAGTTCTCTCCGATAAATAATACCGCATGTTGTCAACTTTCTCAAAAGCGCTATGGAATCTCTGAATCTTCTTGCGACCTCTATTGTATGTTCTGCTGTTACTCTCATACAGAGCAATCTGTGGCCTTTGAGGTTGTGTGTTTTCTACCTGAGCTTTCATTGTGCCAACATTATGGGCAAAATTGGCACCAAAATCAGATTGTGTTGAGTCCCCGGGATCAGACATTGGGAAATCAAAAGTGAACTCAGACATATTACTTGAGGTCAGAGATGTGGGAGAAAAAGCAAAACTCCCAAAAGGCTCCTTTAGTGCAGCTGAAGAAAAAATAGGGGAGAAAAACAAAACAAACATACAAACATTGAATGTACACTGCTAGTGCTAGTACGATCACCAAAATGCTTACGTTGATGTGTCTTGTGTCTCTAAAATGACGTGAACACCTTTTACCAAAATCTCATTTTTGGGTGAAGTGACTGTTTTAGTGCCTAACATACCAATGAACTACAATGGAGGAGGATAGGGCAGGTAAGCCTTTCATTACATATTTTGCTCTATTTGGTGTTGACAATAGATATGTAATCATAAAAAAAAAAAAAAATAGTATAAAAGATTTTTTTATGCGTTTTAAAAACATTTTAGATACACAAAACCACAAGTTTTCGCTGGGCACCATTACAACTTTGATAAGGAGAACATCAGACGTTTTCACAGCATCCTAGTGATTATGTGGGTATATAATATGGCATATAAAATAAATGAAAAGGTTTATTTAATAGTCTCATTAGCATGTTGATGAGGGGAGAAGGAAAAAAAACAAAGAGGGCAAAATATATACTTGAGACACTGCAGCTTAAAATATACCATTGAAAGAGTTTTTGTATAAGAGTTAAATAAGTGTTAAAAAAACCAAAAAAACTTGTTGATCATGCCACAAAATTAGCAAGCTTGTACCTTCCTGCCTGTGCTGCACTGAAATCTTTGACAATGTTGGCCTGGCCAATTTAGTTTGTAAATGACAGAACTCACCCCTCCCGCCCCATGTTATGGAGAGGGAGAGGGAGAGGTTTTTGTTGTACAAAATGCTGCATCTCTGTATGGAGGCACAGATACACTGCAGTCAGTGAACCTAGGACAGGAAGTGTGCTACTGGCAGAATCAGATGGAAACAGGAAAAAGAAATTGAAAAAAAGAAAACAAATGCAGCCAACACTGTAAGCCCAACATTCTTCAGGTATGCTACCATGACCTTCAGGCACCCATAAGTACCTGCTCTCCATGAATGCTGTCAGTGAAAAAGGGTTTATATAAAATGACTGAAACCACGAGTATTAATAAACACTTGCCCTAATAGGACAATGAACTGCAAGTTCAGGTTGTAATACTAGATTTTCAAAGGAAGGGTCATACTTTTTACAATACAGAACCACAACAATAACACTACACTTTTCCCAATACTTACTTTCATTAAAATGCAGATATGACTGCAAATTATGACTAGCGTAAATAAAGGAAGAAAACAAAGTCTGAACTTTACCTGTAGAACTGGATGACGAGAGAGAAGAGGATTCAACTGAGTTGCCAAACAATGGGTCCCAGGCCAAAAGATCACTGTTGACTCTACTGGATAATGTGAAAACAGTAAAGATTGGAAAGACTATAGCTCAGTTTTAGTGGTGCTTAAAGCAAGGGCTTGTTCCTCCCCCAGCCTGTGACTAGAAAGTTAAAGGAGAAGCAGCAGGCTGATAACTTCATTGCCCTGTCACTCTTCCCCTTCCTCCTATCAGCACTGCAGCAAAACTAACTGACTCCTTGTGCTGCTTCTACCACTCCCAGTCTAACCTCTGCTGCTGTACAGGAACTGAAAGAGGCAGCATTAGGTCAAATTCAGGTACTTACACCGTTTTCATTTAAACTACAAACATTTAATGATGTATTTGTGAATACAAAGATGCATTAATTTGTGTATTTTTTTATCTGCCTCAAGTTTGGCTTTAAAAGGATAAATTTAAATTTTTAACCACTTGCCTACCGGGCACTTTTACCCCCTTCATGCCCAGGCCAACTTTCAGCGCTGTTGCACTTTGAATGACAATTGTGCAGTCTTGCAACATTGTACCCATATGAAATGTTTATAATATTTTTCACACAAATAGAGCTTTCTTTTGGTGGTGTTATATTTCTTGCACTATAAAGAAAAAAAAAAAAAAAAAAAAGCAAAAAACATATGAAAAAAAAAAGTTTTTCTTTGTTTCTGTTATAAAATTTTGCAAACAGGTAATGTTTCTCCTTCACCGATGTGCGTTGATTAGGCTGCACTGATAGGCATCACTGATATGCAGCAATGATGGGCACCGATAGGCGGAACTGCTGGGCACTACTGATGAGTGGCACTGATCATCAGTGCCAATCTGTTCTATGACTATTGCCGGTTATCGGCAGAACTTTCCTCACACTGTGACAGCGTGAGGAAAGTGCTGCCGATAAATAGCAACTGTATTTACTCCGTGATCCGCTGTGTCATTGGACACAGCTGATCACGTGGTACAAGGGTGCTGTGATTAGCCTTTTACCTCATCACGTAGGACACAGCTATCACAGAGTTCATCGGGTGCGCGCGGGAGGGCGTCATATGACGCCCTCACAGAATTAAATAACCACGCTGTAGCTGTCATTCGGCTATAGCGCGGTTGGCAAGAGGTTAAAAAATAAATGCACAGTTTTCTGCAGGGGAAAAAAAAGGGGGAATTCTTTTAAACATTTTTTGTAGAACCTGGCAAGCACTGCATTCGAGATCAGCAGATCGCAGGTGCAAAGCAGAGCTCCTGCAGACTGTCAGTGTAAGGTGTCAGCTGGTACCTTTGTATGGACAGGCAGTTACACTCCGACAGGCTGAATCAATGAACTACCTACATTGCTCAACAGTGCCCTGGTAGTTCATTGAGAACAACATGCCAACAGCCACAAAGGGTCTCGGTACTTGCAGTTCATTTACAGAATGAATGACACGGCCATGTTGGCAAAGCCCCGCAGCGCCGTGCTCTTTTCAAATAGTGATAGCAGGTTCAGGAACATCCCCAACCTGCTATCAAAGGGATGGGGTGATCAGAAAGCAGCTGCAGGAGCATTTTACATGTTTCACCCTAAAAACGGATGGAACATGTAACATGATCCCAAAGGGGAGCTTATCCTTTAAATTACTGTTTATGTATGTTACCATCTGTCCTGCACATTACTACTCTGTCTTGATTTCAATTTCATATCCATCTGCAACCCTCCTGTGTGGAGCTCTGTGACCAAAGATCCAGGTGGTCGAAGGGTCCTATAAACTTTGAGCAAATGCAGTGATATAATAAGTGTACACTATGTATCACAATGTTTTTATGCCCTTAAAAGAAAACTACAATGTTTTAGTGTTGATTTTATTTTTTACATTTCTTTTAGATTTATACATTTTGTAGGTTTTCTTTTAGAACATTCACATACAAATCTTTGACAAACATTGAATACAGCGCATACAAATAAAAAGATTATCGGAGAACTACAGATTATATAAAAGGGAAAGTAAAGAAAAATATCTTTTCTTTCAGACAAACTAATGGAATTTACCAAAATTGGAGCAGCTTGAATATAGAGCAGCTGAGCATAGCAACCAATCAGCTTCTATCTTGAGCTTGTTCAGGTAAAGCTTTTAAAGTGAACGGTGGAAACTGAGTGGTTCCTGTGCACACCTGGTCTAGATTCTGCTTGCTCCAGTTTTGATAAATCCCCCTCACTGTCTCACTGAAACCTCTGATGGAGCCCTGCAAAAGTAAAAAGGGAGGAGTCGCTGCTCAGGCCCATTCATTTGCATGTGCACATTTCAGCTTGAGCAACTGAGCTCTATAAACAAAAGGGTAAGGAGAAATTGGAAAAATGGAAAAAAAGCACCTAAATTGTCACCTAACTGCACATGAAAACACAAAAAAATTTAATATTTTTGTTTTTACTAGACTCAAAAGAATATATTTTTTAGTAATGACTATAATATATTACAAATTGCTGTATGTGCCTTTAGGTTTTATTTCCAAAAGGCAGAAAAGAACTGTTTTAAATAACGAAACAAGGAAGAGTGCACGCTCAACCCCACTAAAATATTTTACACTCCAGGCTTGGGCAATGTGCTCTTTCTACAAATCAAAGACTGGAAACATCTGCCCTGCTGAGACACACCCAGAAATATATCAGATACAGAAAACAGATCGATGCTGCACATGCATAATGAAAGCCGTGTTCCCATTAGGTGACAAAAAAAAAAAAATAATGACTGGCAATGGAGGACCAGGAGGTCTTCTAACATCTTACAAATTTGTGTATGGAAGACATATTCAGAAATTAGAGGGACATTTCTGTATGGCCCCAAATGTGTTCCATTACTAATTTTTATTGCTGTATGTGTATTTATCCGCACACAGGTTTGCTTCCTTCCAAAAGCATGCTTACAGTGAAAGGTCGGGGTTGGAGAACAAGTGGCAAGCACATGTCACAAGCAACAGCCAGACCCTATCCACATCTCAGCATAACAGAGATTAAGGACTACCAAATACCTAATCTGTCAGAATCTATAGGGGGCAACCTCACTATTCCAAATAAAAGTTTCAATGACTTACTCGGTTGTTCCTGGCATTTTTAGTTTGGTCATCTCTTCGCCTAAAAATAGACACAAAAGAAAATTTTTAGTATGTATAAAAAAAAAAATAAGGGATTTGTGTAACAATACAAAAATTGTCACCCAAAATATGCTTACTTGAAGCATTCCGGATCATGTGTGCCTAGGGAAGAGGCAGACAGTTATTTCAAAGGCGTAAAAGAACACAAATGATATATCTTAGAAGCAAAAGTAAATAAAAGCATGTCTTCATGTCATTGTCATAATGTGACAGTGATTCCAAATTGTATAGGTCATGTGCATGCAGATTTACAGTTTACCTTTACTTAAAATCTGAAAGGCTGTTATAGCAGGCTTTCATTAGCATGGGAAAACAAATGAAATCCCTATAACCATCAATAAGCTTCTGACACCTCTCACCCGGAATTTTGGCCACTCTTCCTTTGCAAAAACAGCTCCAGGTCTCTCTTATTGGAAGGCTTTCCAAACAGCAATTTTAAGATCTAGCCACAGGTGTTCAAATAGTTCTGGGTCCATTGCTTTCAAGAACTCTCCAGCGCTTTTTGCCATCCATTTCTGTTGCTTTTTGACGTATGTTTGGGGTTCATTGTCCTGCTTCCTTGGAACGCAAAACCCAGCTTTCTGACCACTGGGCCCTACAGTGCCCATTCACTTTGGTAATCCTCAGATTTCATTGATGGGCTGTCTGTCACACAGTCAAGGCACCCAGTGCCAGAGGCAGACAAAACAACAGTTCTTTGAAACCTCCTAGCCATATTTTACCGTAAGGGTTCTTGTCTCATTCCTTTTTTAAAGAGTAGGAGATGTGCTTTACCGGAAAAGCTCTATCATTGGTCTCACTGTTCCAGTCAGTCTTCAGTCCAGCCCAAGTCGTTTGCAAAACCAGAGGCTTTTGGTACTCAAGTACATTTTGGCAAACTGTAGTCTTGCTTTTTTATGTCTCTGTGTCAAGTGGGGTCCTCCTGGGTGTCTCCTGGCCATACGTTTTGCAAACTTCGACGGATAGTTCGCGCTCTGATGCTATGCCTGAGAAGCTTGAATGTCTTTGGAAACATGTTTGGGGATGCTTATCACCATCGGACTATTCTGCGTTGCAATCTTTCATCAATTTTCCTCATCCGTCCACGGGACAGGGAGATGGTACAAGTGCCATGGGTTGCAAACTTCTTTAACCATAAGGCAAATCTAGTTCATGGATTTGATTGTTGATATTTTGCCACAAGCCTCTCCTCAGATTCGTCTCCTCTTTCTGTTGTCCATGCTTAGTTGGCACAGACAGTGGATTTATGTGAACGAGGTGTGCTTTCAGGTGTGATTTCTATATTGCCCACACTGTTACTTGCCCCAGGTGGTGAGTTCACAGCTGACATGCCCCATTTGTAGAACATCCTTCTTAATTTATCAGCTTTTTGAAATGCAATACTTTTGTTACCAGCCCATTTTTGGAGGTTTTGCTGAAATTTTATGAAAGGGAAATAAACATGTGTATTTTCCTTCTACTCGTGAGAAATGTATCCCTGTGCAACAATTTCCACATGCTGCAGTGGGGATCGAAACACAACCCCAATTAATGTGCATGATTGATCCAAAAGGCATCAAATTACAGATTAGACATTACTATAAATGTCACAGATTTTTATTTCCATCATTTTACACTTTCAAAATAACAGAAGAAACAAAAAAATGGCGTCTGCAAAAGTTTGGGCATCCCTGCACAGTTATGATCTTGTACTATGCCCCCTTTGGCAAGTATCACAGCTTGTGTAAACACTTTTTGTAGCCAGCCAAGAGTCTTTTCAATGCTTTTGTTTGAGGTATCTTTGCCCATTCTTCCTTACAAAAGTCTTCCAGTTCTTTGAGATTTCTGGGCTGTGTCACGCACTGCTCTTTTAAGGTCTAGCCATAGATTTTCAATGTTGGGTCAAGAGGTCCTTCCGATGTAATCCCCGTGATTTCGAGGTGTGTTTAGGATCATTATCCATTTGTAGCAACCATCAGGCTTTTTCTCAGGATGGCATCATGTTACCATACAATATTTGCTGAAATTTTATTGAATCCATTTTTCCTTCAAAGATGTTCCCTGTGCCACTTGGCTGCAAACGAACCCAAAGCATGATTTTGTGCTTAACAGTTGGACAGAGGTTCTTTTCATTAAATTCTGTTTTCTTCTCCAAACGTACCTTTGCTCATTCCGGAAAAAAAGTTCAATTTTAACCTCTGGTCACTGAATCTGGTTTCCAAAATGCTTCAGGCTTGTCTATATGTTCATTTGCAAGTTCTTGATTTTTTGTGTGGGGTGAGGACGTAGTAGAAGAGGTTTTCTTCCGATGACTCTTCCATGAAGACCATATTTGTACAAGTATCTCTTTATAGTGGAATAGTGTACCACAACTCCAGTGTCTGCCAGATCTTTCTGGAGGGATCGTGCAGTCAAACGTGGGTTTTGAATTGGTTTTCTCACAATCCTGCGAGCTGTTCTGTCTGATATTTTCTTGGTCTTCCAGATCTTGCTTTAACTTCCATTGTTCCTGATGACTGCCATTTCTTAATTACATTCCGAACAGAGGATATTGACATCTGAAAACGCTTTGCTATCTTCTTATAGCCTTCTCCAGCTTTGTGAGCGTCAACTATTTTCAGTTTCAGTTTTCTAGACAACTGCTTAGAAGAACCCATGGTGCTGATTGTTGGGGTAAGGTCAGATGAGTCTGGGCATTTAAAACCTTTGAGATTGACATCACCTGGTCTTCCCAGACGGTGATTGAGAACAATCCATGACACTGGCAGGTCTCAGCTTTGCAAAGGGGGCAGTGCATGCTTTAAATTCTGCAGGGTGCCCAAACTTTTGCAGACGCCATTTTTTTTGTTTTCTCTCTTATTTTGAAAGTGTAAATGATGGAAATAAAATCTAACTTTTGTTGACATATTATAAGAATGTCTAATCTGTAATTTGATGCCTTTTGGAGATTTTTCCATCTTTCCTTGGCTTCTTTATGCACATTAATACAAATTTTTAGCTGGGGTGCCCAAACTTTCGATCCCCACTGTAGATATATACAGTCAGATCCATAAATATTGGGACATTGACACAATTCTAACATTTTTGGCTCTATACACCACCACAATGGATTTGAAATGAAACGAGCAAGATGTGCTTTAACTGCAGACTGTCAGCTTTAATTTTAGGGTATTTACATCCAAATCAGGTGAACGGTGTAGGAATTACAACAGTTTGCATATGTGCCTCCCACTTGTTAAGGGACCAAAAAGTAATGGGACAATTGGCTTCTCAGCTGTTCCATGGCCAGGGGTGTGTTATTCCCTCATTATCCCAATTACAATGAGCAGATAAAAGGTCCAGAGTTCATTTCAAGTGTGCTATTTGCATTTGGAATCTGTTGCTGTCAACTCTCAAGATGAGATCCAAAGAGCTGTCGCTATCAGTGAAGCAAGCCATCATTAGGCTGAAAAAACAATACAAACCCACCAGAGAGATAGCAAAAACATTAGGCGTGGCCAAAACAACTGTTTGGAACATTCTTAAAAAGAAGGAAAGCACCGGTGAGCTCAGCAACACCAAAAGACCCGGAAGACCACGGAAAACAACTGTGGTGGATGACCGAAGAATTCTTTCCCTGGTGAAGAAAACACCCTTCACAACAGTTGGACAGATCAAGAAACACTCTCCAGGAGGTAGGTGTATGTGTGTCAAAGTCAACAATCAAGAGAAGACTTCACCAGAGTGAATACAGAGGGTTCACCACAAGATGTAAACCATTGGTGAGCCTCAAAAACAGGAAGGCAGATTAGAGTTTGCCAAACGACATGTAAAAAAAGCCTTCACAGTTCTGGAACAACATCCTATGGACAGATGAGACCGAGATCAACTTGTACCAGAGTGATGGGAAGAGAAGAGTATGGAGAAGGAAAGGAACTGCTCATGATCCTAAGCATACCACCTCATCAATGAAGCATGGTGGTGGTAGTGTCATGGCGTGGGCATGTATGGCTGCCAATGGAACTGGTTCTCTTGTATTTATTGATGATATGACTGCTGACAAAAGCAGCAGGATGAATTCTGAAGTGTTTCGGGCAATATTATCTGCTCATATTCAGCCAAATGCTTCAGAACTCATTGGAGGCCACTTCACAGTGCAGATGGACAATGACCCAAAGCATACTGCAAAAGCAACCAAAGAGTTTTTTAAGGGAAAGAAGTGGAATGTTATGCAATGGCCAAGTTAATCACCTGCCCTGAATCCGACTGAGCATGCATTTCACTTGCTGAAGACAAAACTGAAGGAAAATGCCCCAAGAACAAGCAGGAACTGAAGACAGTTGCAGTAAAGGCCTGGCAGAGCATCACCAGGGATGAAACCCAGCGTCTGGTGATGTCTATGCGTTCCAGACTTCAGACTGTAATTGACTGCAAAGGATTTGCAACCAAGTATTAAAAAGTGAAAGTTTGATGTATGATTATTATTCTGTCCCATTACTTTTGGTCCCTTACCAAGTGGGAGGCACATATGCAAACTGTTGTAATTCCTATACCGTTCACCTGATTTGGATGTAAATACTCTCAAATTAAAGCTGACAGTCTGCAGTTAAAGCACATCTTGTTCGTTTCATTTCAAATCCATTGTGGTGGTGTATAGAGCCAAAAATGTTAGAATTGTGTCGATGTCCCAATATTTATGGACCTGACTGTATATATATAAGTGCCTAGGCCTTGTCTTTGATCCTCACAGGTGTCTATTATACGTTTTGTACTATACAACCCACTGCTACTTCTGATCATTAGATTACATTGATGGTGTTATCAGGGGGTTGGTTCTTGGAACAGGAAGAGCTGTTCCACTCCAGCTGCAGATTTGTTTCTGTAAGTGCTACACAATTAACAATTGCCTGGTTTCACAAGGTATGAGGTCATCTTTAGAAGAAACCATGCAAGTGTGCATACGGTCCTGCTCTCCTCCACCTCATGCATAATTGTATTGGTCACACAGGCTACGTATTGTATAAAAAAAAAAAAAAACAAAACAGGTAGGTGTAGGGTCAACTGAAAAAAAAAGTCAGGATTTCCATACAATTTTAGCTGCTTATATCTCTGGATCTACTTACCGTATTTTTCGCTGTATAAGACG